ATCTTGACATGTATAGCAGGGCTTCATAGTTGAGAGGGAACCATGTTTAAAGACAACTTTCATAAAATTACCTTGCCTTACCAATACATGTATATCAATATTGGAAATAATTTTTCAAAATGGCACATCATAGTATGGTGGTGAAAATTCTTTTGACATCAAGGAAATTTTCTTTGATGCTTCAAAGCTGTTTCATTTGAGATTCTACCAGTAAAGGCGTATGTCTGAGAAGTTTGTCATGCAACAACTTATTATTGATATTGCACATGAGGTGTGTACAGCTAAAAAAGAAATGATTTCTTTTCTAGTCTGCACGTCATTTCAAAAGAGGCTCATGACTAGATTATGCCAAAATATTGTAAATTGATAAAATACAGCAAAAAAAAAGCTGAAAATAAGGGCATCATCACACCATTTATTGAACATCTAGGAACAGCAACAGCAAATTCTTTTTATTATAGTCTAATGCAATTACTTATTATTTTTTTAACTTGTATCATTTTATTGTGCAGACTTGGTTGCGGAGACAGAGAAACACATATTGACCCCCAGAAAATCACTCTTTGTAATCAAGATGTTGAAATAGCGGGTATTGCTTGCGGTAGTAGACACAGCATGGTCTGGTTGAATGATGGTAAATGCTATAGTTTTGGTAATAACTATAATGCACAACTTGGATACGACTTCAGAATTAAAAACTACAAAGAAAACCAGGTGAGATATAAGTCAAGTTATTGTCAATGTTAGACCCCAACGTGAACATTTGTGAAAAACAGTAATCCAGATTTTTGTTTTCTGTCAGACGTAATACAGTATAACAAATTTGAATATTTATTCATTGCTATTCCCCACATATGGTTTCAATATCACATATATGTAGAGCACGAAATGGGAGCTTTTGTGTGTCACTGTCTGTGTTTCTTTGTCTGTCTGTTAGTCTGATATCTTAAGACCCATGTAGTACACCAATTCAGATGAAACTCAATAATCAGATAATTGAAAAAATTAAAACCTGACCTATATTACCTATAATATTCATGAATATTTAATTAGATGTTCACATGGAATTTTATTTATCACAAAATGACCTTCCAAGAAAATAGCGAAAATAAAATATAGATGAAAATAAAGTATTTCACAGCAGTTTTACTACCACTCTATGAATAAAAATAATTACCCAAATTTGCATATTAATAAGCCACTGTTTTTCTTCTATTGTCTGAGAAGCAGTCACTTGATTCCTATGAACTCAATAATCAGACAGGGGACAATTACAAGATCTGAATAGATTTTAGTACCAATCTATGCATATTAAGTAACCCAATTTAAATATTAATAGGCCATTGTATTTCCACTGCTATCTTAAGAAGCAATTCTTCCCATGTGTTGATTTGTCAGACAGAAACCCTTTCACGTCCATTGTCAAAGCTGAGGTGGGTGTATTTGTGTGCATGGCAGCTTAATAGAATAGAATAGAGAAGAATAGAATAATGCTTTATTAATACCGTAAAGAAAGAGTTAACATTTCCTTTTAGGTTTTCAGATTAATAAAGTAAATAATAAAAGTACATGAAATATAAAAATTGATTTAAAAAGAATTCAACATTAGTGAACGATAAGAATACTACAGACAAATATTAATAATATAAGAAATATTAAAATACTGTGATATGTAAGTATCACTGTATGTAGCATAGAATATGTATAAAATATAAAAGAACATGACAAAATAAAATATGTATATCATAAGGGTGTGACCAAACTGAGACATTCAGGCTTTGGGCATAATGATGATTGTTGGGCAGTGATTTAAGAAAACATTAAATCAGCATTCTCCAAGAAGATTGTAATAGTTTGGACCCATGGCAAGACATGTCAGTGACCGAAAGTTTTGGAGTGCATGGTGACGGTGATGAGATAATGGCTAAAGAAGCTCATGCAGCTCACAAAAGATATAGATCGACAACATCAAGTCACTCGCTGACATGAGCATGCACTCACTTCACTGCCAACCATAATCTCTTGTCTTTGTAGCCGCTAGCCACCATCTAAATGATTCGCAATTATCGGTGTTACTTTATATAGTAAACGTCACAGATGTAAATGATATGCGCAATCATGAATCTACATATAAACTATAATTACTATTTCGTCTCATTTTAATTTTTTTTTCTAAACTAACTTTACCCATTTAAATGTTCACCAATAAAACTTTGTCGTTTGTTTGTTTGTTTGTTTTTCTTCTGTCTTTTTGTTGCAGATTTTGCCACATATCCTGTTGCATCAGAGTGATAAGGGCCGATATCTAGATGAGGTATAAGAATGCAAGGCTGTGTAGTGTTTAAAAGCGGTTTTGTATCGTTGCACTTGTTGGCTTTAGTGGGCATCTTGATACAATTAACACAGCTTTTACTAGCCCCAAAGTCATCTGTAAAACTGAACAAATCTGTTTGTGTAAAATTGATTTTATTTGAAGTGTTTGATCTTTGCAAATATGGGTTTAAATTTAAAGTATATCCCATGGGCTGATTTTAATAATGCACTTCTGTTATGAAAGAAGATCACAGTGATTATTATAGTAAATGCCACACAAATGGAATCTAGGTGAAGCTATTTACAACACTGTGCCTGATTGGCTGCCCAACCCTAACTCCTAACTATCAGACCAATCAGAGAGCAGCTTGTTTGCTGACAATTCTTCTTCGTATATATACTGCAACTGAACAAATGTGACTCCATACATTATGTTGCTGAATGCAAATGAGTTACAAATCTAGGATAAACAATAAACCATTGCCCATCATGGGTTATGTATACCACCAAATTTAGTTCAAAAAATATGTTTACTAGTGTCAGTCAAAATTTTGTTTGCTTTTAGATTATTTTTGCTGAGATATCAGCAAGTGTAATGCTGTGTTAATCAATCTATTCCAGAAAAGAAAAAAAAAACCTTGCTGAACAACTTAGCATATTCATATAACTATCATAAAAACCGTGACAAACGAGTGCAGACGTCCGTTTTTATCATTCAGAAAATTAACAATACATTCAAACCCTATTTGAAATGTAAATTGTTTTTTTCTGCATCATCGCAATTTGATTTCAAAAGATCCTGATTCATTATTAATTATTGTCTGCTATATATATTTCGTGATAAGATAAGAACGCTGTAACCTTGGTAGACCAATATTTAGGCATGCGTCACACGGTCCATGTAACCATGGAGCTATCATGCTGTAACCATAGTGATATATTCATTATATTCATGTACTACTATGATATAATTTAATTATACCGTTTTTGTTTTATTTTGTGGTTGGCTGACAAAACTTTTGACCCATGTTGGGTGATGGTTTAATACTAAAAATATTTTTTGTGTATCTTCAAGTATCCTCAATTGACCCCAATGACCAGAAAGTTACCATGCCATCTCCAACAACTTGTATCACAGAGACTTGGTATTTTGAAAGTTTATGCAAGAAAATGTACCTCTATTACTGAATTTAAAGACAGCTCCTACTTCTTGATTATTGAAATATTGAAGTATTATAGCAGAAAAACATAATTCAAATTAATTAAAAATCTTTTTTGGGCCATACTATCAGTATCTAAAGTTTTATAGTGGGAGACAGAAGTAGAGAGCACTACGTAGCCCTGAAGTGTTTAAACGGGAAGGTTCAGTTTTACAGAGAAGCCATGTGTAGTGCTTTATTGACAGTGTGTAATGTAAGCTAACACATATTACTGTACATGAAGTTATCCCATTGTCTTAGTTTGTATCCTTGTAACACATCACATCTAGAGTCACGACCATGGTTGGTCAACTCATTTTGGCTTGAGAAATGGCTTGAGAACTGCAAGCAACTTGTTTTTTGAAAAAAATGTCACTGACTGAAACTAAACTGTTAATCTGTATGCGATGTGTTATGAAGTACCCATTGACTGGCCAATCATTCGTTTAGCAATAGCATACATCTTCTTCCCTGAGAATAATATTTCTTTTTTCTACAGTAGCTTGGAATAGATGCATGCTGTTGCCTTTATAGCCCAGTGATTGGTCTCATAACAGTGCCTCATCACAAGCATGCCATTCTTGTTGACTTAACATTTAAATTCACACTGGTGTTTAAATCTGTGTCGTTCCTGTTCTCATAGGTATATACATTCTTTGGTGTAAAACTTTTCAATCATCAAATAATGTCGTTCTTGATGATGAGGCAAGTGTCTTCATGTACAGTAAATATACACATTTAGTTAATCCTAGTTTTATTTTTCCAGATAATGTGGTGTTAACCCCATCTGAATCTCTTCGTGAGAACCACCCTGCTATCAAATAACTTGCTCATTAACCCCCTAAGTGGTTGGGTGAAACCATTTATATTAAAAGGGGTGGTGGGTGCTGTTAACATAATGTTTTACGTAGCAGGTAACTTACCAAGTTTTTTCACACGTTTTTTTTTATTATTATTTTATATTAACACATTCTAACACTAATTCTAAAACTATCTCTAGGTGTCCAGGACATGGTGTGTATAGTTGCTAATTGTTTCCTCCACCCGGGATTGATGTGTTTGTTTAAATTGTTTCCTCCACACATGCATGATGTGTTGCACTAGTTTTGTTTGTTTATTTATTAGCACCAGCTCATGTATGCATTTCTGTCTGTTGATGTATATGCATGCTTTGCAGTGTGCATGGGTCAGTGTGGCCATCAACGCTGCGGGTGTGTTAAATCCTGTCTTAGCAAATGTGACAGGACAGATCAAACATGTATCACTAACTAAACGTTGCCAAACCATTTCCAGATTGGCCTATGTTTTGATTGGGATGGGGGTGGGCCTTTCAATTTGAAATACTGTCTTTCTCTATTATTAGCACATGAACTTACGTATAAAAAGAAAAATTGTCTATGGTTAGATTGGCCCAGGTTTTGAGTAGGGTGTGGTGGGGCCTTTAAATTTGAAATACTGTCTTTCTCTATTATTAGCACATGAACTTACGTATAAAAAGAAAAATGGCCTAGGTTTTGAGTAGGGTGTGGTGGGCCATTCAATTTGAAATACTGCCTTTCTCTATTATTAGCACATTACCTTACGTATAAAAAGAAAAATTGTCTATGGTTAGATTGGCCCAGGTTTTGAGTAGGGTGTGGTGGGGCCTTTAAATTTGAAATACTGTCTTTCTCTATTATTAGCGCATGAACTTGCGTATAAAAAGAAAAATTTGTCTATAATATTTTAATGATCCAGCATAAAATAAATGCAATTTTGGGTTTATGTAGTTTTATTGGAGATGTGATTCTAATAGAGCAAATACAGTTAAATTAATAAGTACGTTAAATTATTTCTTTTTTCCCCACACTAGCCTAAGTTTGGGTTGAATGCTGATAGTTGGTTGGTGGATGCATAAATATGTTCGACTTATGCGTTGTGTCGTCACCCGAAGCGCTGTCCCAGCACAAACCTGTGTCATATGACGCCTTACTAGCCGATTTTGGCTAAAATTCCGCTCCGCCGCCTCTTTACAACAGTGTTTATACGCGGAACTTGCTATTTCTTTTTACAATTTGGGTTGCCTTTGAATCACATATTTTAGTGAAATATTGTTTATAGAGTGAAATATTATTGTCATACATAATTCAATCTTTGAAACAACAGAAACTAACACATAATAACGATAATCAAATTTGTGTTTGAAGTTCGAAAGTAGTTGCGTTATTTCCGGTTTCAACTAGTTCGAAAATAGAACGTCCTTGAGCGCAATAAAATCACGCGTAGAACTCCATCCGAACCAGACTCTAGCAGCGTAAACTTATTGCAATTTGCGCGATTTGGGCTCAGTTTGTTCTTACAAGTTTTCTAAGTTTCATTTATCATTATTTAGTAAATAGGTCTCTGAAACGATTTAATATATCCGTAAAATACGTGTCAATCGACGATTGACTTTGAAACGTTCAAAATTTCGAACAAACTCCCGGCACACCTAGCGCGATATGCGTCAGATCGGTGTAGAAGACGCCGAACTGCAGCGTCAATGCGACCTATGTTTATGATTACAAATTTGTGTTCTCTAACGTGTTCAAAATGTTTTTAAAGGAAAGACAAGACTTTTCAACACTGTGCGAGTAACACTCTGTATATTATTTAAGTTTTGTGCCCTGAAAACAAAAGGTGTGAAAAATGTTTCTGTAATTTGCTGAAGAAGGCTAATTTTCGCATGCTTTTCCTGTAACTTCTCAAACAAATAACAGTTTGAAAATGCCAGAAATGTTATCGTGTCCCATGCAAACCATGATAAATGGTGATTTTAGTATTTTATTGGCGTCTCACAATACCTCGTGCTAAAAATTTAAATTATCAGCCTTCTTTATCTAGAACAATCAATTTAATGCCCAGTGGATTTATTTGAAAAACAAAAGTCATAATACTTTATTGGCATCTGCTTGAGGGCAGTATATATACTCACCATGCTACTGATTGTTTTTTCCCATTTCTATATCTAATTCCGACCACTTGGTGGCAGTGTTCCCTTTACCTGTTTAGAAACCATATCATGTCCATATGCATCTACATATAAATTAAGAGTGTTATTTCTTACAAAATTTGAATGCCTGTTCGTAAGCCGGCATGCCACCAGTAAAACTTGGTGGGATTATGCTATATCATTCAACACTGATGGTAAAAAACAATTCTGTCTTGAACTCATCCCTGTCATCTTATGAGCTTGTCATCGGACTATCATTCTTGAATTAATTCTGTGAGCAAGCAATAAGAATATTATAATAATGTGATTGTCTGTCGTCTATGGATATTTATATCTCCCTAATGGTTGGTTAATCTTAGCGGAGTGACTGCATGGCACCATAGAAAAACCCCGGGATTAGTTAAGTGAATTCCGCAGTTCATCCCATGCATCTCAAGAGGGAAGGGAATTAGTTGGTGAGCGGACACAAATCCGTGTTTTGGTTTCAACTACCGATTACCGACACTAATCCGTATCAATTTTTCCCACCCGGGAATTATTAGGGAGTTTCTACTGATTTCCACGGAGTGGGACATCATCCCTTAGGTAATTGACATATTTCATTAAGGCGACTACTGTCCCCGTTGCCTGTCGCTGCTAACAAATTCAGTTATACCAACACTGTGTTATTTATCATTATACTGCTCAATTACTTGTCCCACCAAGTTGGTATTTATGAAAATTGAAAATTAAATATGATTTGGGTCGAAAATCTCTCTCGGGGATTACCTGCATCATTTCATTTTTTTTTTATGCCCATCTTGCTACTCCCTTCATTTGCAAGTATAAAAAAACTAAATTCAATATAATTTGTGAGATTCAACGTAAAATACTCATCCATCATCTAGAGCTAACTTCATCAGTGTTCATCGTGTGGTCCCTCTAGATTAGTTGACCTGCCCTCTCAGTCTAGTTTTAACCTCGTTTTCAACTATTCGATTTGAATGATCGCTATGATAAGAGGATCATTGTGATCATGCTGTATCTGAACTTGTCCACAGTTTGACCTTCTCAATAAAGTCTTGAAGTCATGAACCTTGCCAATGTCGCGCCTAGAACTTTTTACTACATGGTTTACAGCTTGTTTTATTGCCTTATTAAAATCAGGTTACAATTTAACCTAGTTTTGACTGTGCTACCAATGTTATTGACATCACCTTGTTTTGATGTAGGGATTATTATGAAATAACTCGTCCGGATATATTAAAAGTCTGCATGATTTATTCTCATTGCCTCCCTAGTTATTATGATGCGTAGGTTTCAAGGCAGCGTCTGATTGCACAGTTTTATGTTCTGTTATGGATTACACCATATCTCATAACTCTGGCTTCTTTTTCAGGTGAAGCCTCATCTGCTGCGGCCGATACAGCACCGATTTGTCACTCTGGTAGCATGTGGGGAGAGGCACACCCTCTTCCTCTTTGACACAGGCTCCGTCGCCGGCTGCGGGTGAGTGAAAAATACTTTTATCGCTAATGAAGCCCTCGGAGCATTTTTCAACAGGTCAAGCCCGGTGTCGTTAAATTGATGGAATTCAGATAGTGAAGGCAATATGATTTTGTGCATGTATGATAGCCTAGAGGCGATATTAAAGCCTGAGTGATGAGTCAGGATCTGGGTCATCTCGCCAATTTACAGACGACGAAGGTTGTTGAGATCTCGTAAATTGTGGTGAATATACACCAAGTAAAGGTTAAGTGGTATTTTAGAACGAGTCATAAAGTTTAAAAACTTGTAATTATGGCCAAGCAGAAAATATTATCTTATTATGCATATATTATACACAGCTAGTTTAAAGAAACATGTACGGTTTTCTGATCACAGGATTATTCCTCATGTTGAGATAAAACTTGCCCTGTATACCACAAAGCATTTATATTTTAATCACGAAAAAAATTTCAATTCTTGTATGAAAATGATTAAATTAGAGTGGTAATTTTTTTTTTCTCTGTTTTTTTTTGATTTATAAAATTCTTGCTTCAGGCAAATCATATTTCAATGACATATCCAGCTTTTAGCGTAATTTCCTAATCTTTTGGATGCCAAAGAAACCTCGTGACGTCTTGGCTGCTGAGCAAGCGATGTGGTAGTTGGCTTTGTACTTGAAAACACAGCCTGCAGGGCTGCTGGATCTCCCTCAAATAACCTGCTATCAAACTTGTCTTCAAATAACAATTGTTAATATTTTTTTTAATTGCAGAAAAAGGGAGGGTGCACACTGTCCTAAAGCAGATTAAAATTAATTTTTAAAAATCAATCTTTGACTCGGCAGAAACACCCTGGTTGCCATGTCTCACTGACTATGCTCAATTTTTCCAAATTGCGAGTTCATTATGGGTATCCCTATTTTGAAAAATATCTAAAACTAAAATGCTTTTCTCTCTTATGCATTAATTTCATATGGATTGCATATATAAAAAGATGCATCATAAATAACCCTGCTGTTTGATTTAATCATCCCAAATACCCGTAATGTACGGCACATGTGTAGCAGAGCACATGTATGACAAGAACACAGCGCTTTGTTTATCCAAAATCGTTTTTTTTTTTAAATATTGAGATTTTCAGGAAAAGACATGATTAAACGATCAGTTGGTGATATATTTAGGGTTTGAATCCCAGTTATGATCACACAGTTCATCTCATGATCAGCTCTGTATTTCGTAACTAAGAAAGAGTGTTATCTTTTAATGTCAGAAGTTAATTTTCTGACATTCTGTTGTTTATTTGTAACAAATGTCATCTCGCCATCACATATCATTCTACTGCTCATTCATAGGTCGTATTGATGATATCATAACTTTGAAAAAAGCCAGACATGACTACGAACCGCTATCTGAATCAATACGTGATTCTTATCTTGATACATTACAATCATTAACATGATAAACAAAGAAAGAAAAAAACCTTGACTATTAAAACTGACTTCTTGTCTGATTTGCGAGAATGAAACCTTTGCCTGATTGTCTCGAGAATGACGGAGGATGGAGTAAGCCGTTACGATAAAGAAGCAACATACATGATAACAGTGCACAAGCACTACTAGATAAAAAACAAACAAACCATCATTTGCTAAGGATCTGTGTCTAAATTAGCAGTAGCGAGTGTTGGTGATATTATCCTATTGCTACTTACCCTATAATCATTGTCACAATTTTTAAAATCAACCGCGAACCCAGCATACAGATTTTTAACAAGAAAAAACACACACACAAAACCACAAAATTAACGACTTGTAATGATATAGTTATACGCCTCACTGCGGCAAGTTTTTCAGTATTGATTCATAAAAACAGTACGTCGTTCTCCCTGAAAGTTCAAACATTGCAAATATGCCCAGAACAAAGAGATATTGTAGTAATCGTGTCCTAATAGCTAAATTATATAAATGATAGTCAGCATATTTTATATCTGACTGTGTGTTTTACCATTTCCTTTTTTTCTCATCATGCGCTGGAGTAAATCACAACGGGGAATAGATACGTCTCCTGAGGGAGACTCGCCAAATTATAGGTTCATCGTTTCGTATCAAATTAGATTGGATCTTTGCAATATTACTTCAGTTCACCTTAATATTGACAACTTATTTATATTTCTCATATTCTATGATTTATGTGTGTTAAATGTTATCAATTTATTCGAAGTCTAATGTGTTTTTTCCCCCTCGCCATGGTAATATGGTTTTACGCAGTAGAAGATGTCATGTTAGAATAACAGATTTGGTCCTCAGAGACGGAAAGAGTGAACGAGCAAGAGAGAGTAGTACAATTCTTCAACAGAGCGAGAAGCCACTCATCTGTGTTAAAATTCAGGTCACTTTATTCTGCTTAATATTCCATATCTGTCAAATATTCGTGTCACAAGATCAAGTTCGGTGACACATCAGGGATTATTTTTTCATAAACCAAGCTGGGCTTTCCAGGTCATTACTAATGTGTGGGTATTAGTATTCTGTGATTTAAAGGGCACCGACTCTTCCGTGCTGAGTACAAAAGTATCATGCTTTCTGCTTTCTGTCCACTCGGAGGATTAACAAGCAAATCGCATGTCGGTGACGGAGGTGATCCAAATGTCGTGTCTTAGAGCAGAGTGTTCCTAGGGCACCTCACAATTTCTTTAAATATCATGCTTTCTTTTTTCAGCCCTGAGTTTGCTGTCAAAAGTTCAAGTTTGAGAGTTTCATAAATCTGGCTTTCTCACTTAGTACATATAACATGTCATCTTCGGGTCAGTGACGAATCTGCAAGCGTCATATCCATATTTGTCAGTTGGCTCTTGCATTCCATACACATACTCCCCCCTGCCTTCTACTCTAAAATGGGAAATATTCTGTTTGGCAGTTATGAGTACGAATCACATCTCCACTGTGCAGCTCTTCCTTTTTGACTGTTTATTAATTTAACAAATTTTAATTCCTTCTGAAATAAATAAAAAAAAATCCTGTCTTCAGTTTTACATATAAATTCCTTGCACTGCTCGACCAAATTGAAATTACTTTCAACATTATTCATGAAGTATTTAATTTTAAAGTACTGAAAGTACTTCATTCAATATTGTTTATGTTATTTCATGCTCGTTTGAATAATATTTTTCAAGTTTGTAACTAAAAAAAGGAAACTAATTTACATTAATTTTGTACTTTATTGTGGTTATTTTTACTATTGAACTTTTGGGAATAAAACTAAATGATTGCACTTACAGTTATGGCTAATCCCCCCTCTGTAAGCATTAATCTGTTCCCCTGGGGAAAGGAACCTAGCGGGGACACTGTGTCTGTTCAAAGTAAGAAAAAAAAAATATTTAACTTTGTCAAATGGACTGCAAATCTGACACTTCAATTTAACTAAGGGAAATTAATTGGTCGTGGAACTGAAAGACTAAAAATGGTAAAATTCATGCATATTATATTATTGAATAATTGTTTGATTGATTCGTGATATCAATTGTTAATCGCTCAGTATTGCCGCTTGCACGTAATTCATCATCACGCTATCACCCCTCGTATTGACTTTTGAGAATTGGAATTTGACTTTCACCTGCCATAGCGGATAGCGTCACTTGGGAGATAGCGTTGAAAGAACACATTTTTACCATGTATATAAACCCTAATAGTATATTGACACAAGGCTATTGTATTGTTTTTGCATTAGTTATTCAGGTTTGATTGGTTAATCAAACATTTTGATGGAGTGAAGATAAAGGTGTCTGCTTCATTTCGTCCCAGGGTACAATCACCTTTTTTTTTTTTAAATATTAAAAGTACCGCTATCATCCATTTAAATTTAAGATGGCGATTGTGTTTATAGTGAAATATTGTAGTCATAGGAAATAAACGTTTGATATAACCCCCTAAACCATGATCCCCATGCAAGATAGTATATGATTATAATTTCATTCTTTTAGCATCCATAATTAATTCTATACAAGTTTTTTTCTGTGAAAAGGAAATGTTGAAAAATGAAAAAATGTAAAAAGTAGAAAGTTTGTCGAAAGTTCCCCCTAGTTTAAAAAAATATGAAAGGAAGCCAATTTGTCCAGCCTAGTCTGAGTTTTATTGGAAATTTTTCTTAATACTTGTGTGAGTGTGAGTAGAACAAGACCTACCAAGGGTGATACGGTTTTTATTTTTTCTTGTTTTTTGTCTGATTGCTTAAACTTTTCTTTAATAACCCCACATAGATCTGACAAACTTCGAGAGGGAGACTTGTTCAGCTGTATTATTACCTGGCCAATCGCTTCTGATGGCTTTTCATGATCATGATTTAAGTTCTATCAGCAATATCGCATTCAGTTTCTTTTTCAGAATTGAAGGGTAGTGGTCGTCATGCCACGTATGTTCGAGATTTGTGTTGATAAACAGGGATTTTCTCACAACCAGTTTGCGCTCAAACAGGATTGATTTTGATTTCAAAATAGAATCCCCCAAAATGAATTTGCGTTAGCTTATTGACTGCTGAGGAGATTCGTCTTCAGGAAAAAAATAAAATTGTATGTATACATGTGAGGTGACTTGAGGCACAAACAAAAAATGTTGTAGCCTATGATTTCTGTCGTATTTATAAAATATAAAATAAAATTTTCTTTACAAATTCCAAAACTATAGTAAGATGTTTTTTTTAATATGTATGATTTTTTGTGACGTCAATGATGCACCAGTTATTTAGCACAACTAGTTGCGTCACAGAAAATCTTTGTGCGTCAGTCGCTCATTATATCATCATAGAGGGCACACTACCCACAACCCAATGTGGTCTTGAAGCGATAACCACGAATGTGAGTTTTAATATGGTTGCGATATGCACAAAATACTGAATTTGACTCGTTAGAATATTTATGTTCCTGTCTTCACAGGAGTGATCGAGTTAAACCATAGTAGTGTCTCATTTTTGTATGTATTAAACCATGCAACAATCAGATTCCACCATCTTTGTTAATATTGACCCCCTATCTCACACATGCGTGGCACAAAGGCCACCTCCATTTAAAATGAGGATGGATTGAAAACATAGATATAATAGCATCAATAATTTGGCAGCAGACTATTTGATTTCAACTGATAAAGATATTTACAGTAATCTTATTGATGTCACTAATTTAATTTTCATTACATTTCACTCTGTTGTAGTGTCCTCCATATAAACATTACTGTTTTTCAAAAATATCATGATGATTTTTCACATTTTGAAAAATATTTAACACTTTCACGCTCATTGTCTACTCATTTCATTTTGACTTTTTGAGCGCCATTTTTTTCCATTTTTATGTATTTTTCAATATTTCTTCGGTAATTTTGGTTCAAAATTACATAATTTCCAATTGGCTAGAAGTCTCAATCAAAATTTTAGAAAAATTATGGAAAAAACCATTGTGGCTTTAAAATGTGTGACAAAAGTTGACTTTAGCGCTCAAAGGGGTTAATAAACAAATCATTCTGCTCGTTTCCATCAAAGACGTCAGCCAAAAGTTAAAAATTTTGAACAACCTCTTAGTAACATATTGTTTAGTCTTGGTGAAAATATTTATAGCAAAGATCTAGTGGGTTTGAACATGTTAAGTGCAAGAGAGGAAATGCTTTGATACTGAGTGACTGAAGTGCGTTAGAAGTTCAAGTTTTCTAACAAATTGGGTTATATATTCTTCTGAAACTAGGTAATATGCACTGACATTGGCATCCGAGCAAAGATAAGCCCTCTAATATTGCCCGTTCTAGCCAAGCATTCATTTCAGGGATAACATAAATTGTTTTGAAAGGATAGATGCTTTCATACTCGCTCCCAGCATTGACCCCACTGACTAGCAAATTAATAGTGTCATTTTGTTTCTTTCATACTCTATCGCAGACAAATTGACGCTTTTTTTCTTCTTTTTCCCCCCTCCTATGACGGTACTTATCGTCCTGGGGGCTTACCACAAATTGACACGGCTGCGATCTTTTTAAACATTTCCCAAATCTGACATGGCCATTCAGCGAAATCTTCCAGGTCAGTGATGGAGTCACCACCGCATTTGCAAGTCTGTCATCTTCATCATCCATGTCAAGTAGCTGCAAAAAACGATTTCATCCATTTCATTGAGATCATAATTTATTAGGAATCAGACAAAAATCAGTTAAAAAAAATGAAAAATTATCCCATTTAACACCTGACACTTAGGTAGACATGTGACCTGCATAATAACTCATAACGCTTTCATTGTATTTTACTCGCATCTAATTATAATTCTGCTTGTATTATTTTTTAAAATTTTACTTTATATATTTATAATTCATAAAAAAATTATCAGTATTGTTGATGTTTAATAGCTTATCATTTTTACAAACTTGTATGGTTTTGATCACTATATAGTTAACGGTTTGTATTATTGGATGTCATAATGTCATAATTTACGAGACACTGATGTTACTCATTCATAAACATGGTAATGAGACTCATTATTATTCAGATAAATAAATAAACTGTGAAGGTATGACTCTGTGCCTCAAAATACAAATATCAATCATCCTTGCCAATTATCAGCACCAAATCTTGTGTACAGAATGATTACTGACGATAAATTAGCATAGATTCTATTGTCAATATACTCAACTACACCTGAAAGTTACAGATCGTACCATTTCTCTGTTGCACGATGATACAATGGTTGTATATTTTGTAAGTTTTTAAGGCAAAAGAAGTTCCCATGTACTGAAATTGTACGTCACTAATCTGTGATTGGTCTATTGTTCATAACAGTTACCAACTTCTCACAGGCTATAAAGCATATTTTTCACAATCGTTAGATTTCACCAGAGGAACTTCCTGCCTAGTTGAGAGCTGCTATACAATCAGCTTCAGTACTTTTGAGTAAAGGTGGAGCCATTATGAAGCAGGTGCTGGCAACCACTGATTAATTCTGTCAGCTCTGCTGTGTCCTCACTACTCATGTCGCTACTATCTAATTTTTGTCATGGATTAAGCAGTATATACCAGATAAACTTTGATTTTAAAACTGTTTGGCAGCTTGGGTTTCATTTAGAAAATTAGTATCACAGGCAAGCAAGGATTAGGAGTCCACCTAACTCCCATGGTGTGCGGACGGTCCCCCTCCACCCATTGATCATATTATGTGACAGTCTATAACTCTAGGGATATTGTGGTGTATGTTTGCGAGGTCGGTTTAATATTACACTTCTCTATTCTTTGTTTCAGATCAAATTCGTTCGGTCAGATTGGTACGGGAGACAGGGATGAAGTGATTGTTCCAAAAATAATCGAAAATCTCCAAGCTAAATTTATATCCTGCGGTGCAAACCATAGTATGGCTATTAACGGTAAGTTAGTTGTTAATTCCCCAAAAAATCTTTCTTGTTTATGAAACTCAAGTTTGTGTAAAAAAAAATGTTTTTGCTTGTCTAATTTTTTTTTTTGTTCACCACAATATATTATCAGCCATATTGTGTAGATGCATTATGGGTGGAATTATTCGTAATTTTCCTGTGGTCATATCACATGACCAGTTGGCAGACCACAAAACCTTGTGGTACTACACATTAGGCATGATTGGTATCAACACTTTTGAGATAATATCTTGAAACATAATGTGCCATAGTAAAAGCTCATCAGTATCATTTTTTTTTCTTTAAATGTTTTTCGAGTATCTGTTTTATAATTAAGAGATGGGGGAAATCATTATTATTAATCCTTTTTGCTGAACTTGAATAATTTAGGCTTTCACTTCTGTGTTTAATGGTTTTTATCAACATGTTATGGCCACCATTGAAGAGATACATGTATACAAAGACTTCCCCCCTGTAAATTTATGGCCGAGATTCACTACAAGGATTTGTGCTGATTTCCACTTAAAATTTGTGGATACCCATTAATACAGAACACATAAAATATTTTCTGTTAGCTTTTACTTTGTAAGCGTATTCAAGCAGAATCTAATGGCAGCATTTTGAGGTGCATGGTGTTTTTGATACTTCCGCAAAAAACAACTTTAATAGCTTTCGTCATTATATTAATATAATAGATTACAAAAAAACTGTGTGTAGGAGCCGAAAAAAAAAATGACTCAATTTATATATTCCATTTCTTAATCACGACGGAAAAATATTGTCAGTTAGCGACGCATCGTCTTGTAATATGTTTCGTGAAATCTAGTTAGCTGCCGTGCCTGGAGGGTATGTCCTGTCTGCGTCACTTAGAATGGACGAGTATACGAGATCTCTTAACTGATCTACCTTTCTGTCCTAATTTCTCTATCTGTCACACATACACATTCATTTTTAAACTACGCTAGGTGTACTCTGTCATGTGTCTAAGAATACAAGTCAGCCACCGGGGGGAATTGCTTGATGAAGTGGACGATCCCTGTGCATGCCTCTTTCTTCCCTCCTCGCTTCCCTAGGCAGTCAGTTAACTCCATATAACAGTCTTGTTCTGAGTTCTCTTGAACTATTTTAACATTTTGCCTTCGCATTATTAGATTACCGCACTAGGTCGGGTCGTTTTAAGGAGTAGTCTCCAAGTTTGTATCTGCAAAGTAGACAACAAGCTGGGAAACAAACATAGATATAGGATTATTCAGAAAAGTGGTTTAATTGTTCATTTTTCAATGTGTGGGTTTTGTTTATGGGTGTAGGAACACCCTGACTTGGCTTCATTCAGAATTGAACCACAATATCAACTGTATCAAATTATTTTTATTATCAGATTTATCGTCGCAGCTTTCCCTGAATGGCAAAACCTTTATATTCCGCTGTGTCTCTGATTTTTTTTTTGTAAACGACCGGCATTATTGCACCTCACATTTTGAACTTGTTAAGCTTTTTTATTTTTATGATCATCACTAATGTATGGAAGCATGTACTTTTTGTGGCTACTTGTGAGGCAGGCGAATGTACTTGGAGATGAGAAGATGTAACCTCGAAACGAGATCTTGATATTTTTTTTTATCTTACCCCATTTGAGAATATCCCTTAGTCATCTTTATTACACAGTTCAACTCATCTGTTGTTATTATTCTTGTATCTTTGCCCTAATGGTTGCGACTTGGGTTAATTACGCACTCTTCTCTCGTAGCCATTCATCATATCGAGCGAGTCGTAATTGTTTTTGAACTCTTTCTCACCAATTGCCTCCAGGTGACATGAGAGTGACAATTACTTCAGCGCGTATTAATTCAATTAATGATAATTCTGATGTTGGTAAATAAGTCAATTTGAAGTTAAATTGATAGCCACTGTCGGACTTCGGTGATTTAGGAGTTGTATGTATCGGCGGTTATAGTTTATTTTTCAAACTATTCGAGGGGGTCATGATCTCAGCATTATGTGTTGATTAAATTGTGGTATTTTAATCTTGATCTCCATCAATTGATTAGAATTAGATTTAGTTTTTTTTTGGAATTGTGTGAAATGAAGTTCAAAGTGTGTTTACAGTGACTGCTAATCAGTGTTATTTAAATTTTTTTAAAGATGCTTACAGGCTTGGAAATGCGTTTTCTTTTTCGGTTTCATAATTATCCCATCATGATAAACCCTAACTCTGTAATTTGAAAATTTGCCTAACTATTTCATCCATAGACTGCTAACAACCTACCCTCTAAAGTTAGGCAGATTGAATATGAAGCTATTAATTTCCATTAAATTCTCGCCTAACTTGACAGAGACTAGCTTTTATTTAACTGTTTTGATTGGACAGCAATGATTTTGTGGGTTATAAAAGAAAACTGCCATAACCATGTTTAACACAGGTTTACTGCTCTCCAAAATTATGCTTACTGCAAATATAATTTACTGTAAAATGCTTTTTTTTTGTTCTTTAAGTGAATTGTTTCGCAGTACTGGCCTCAAATTATTCAATTTGCTATTTCCCACCTTGTTTTTGCAATCTAATAGGATGGAGAAGAAATACAATGATATTTTGAGACGTTTTTGAGGTCTTTTGACAATCTCCCGAAGGATTTTACATATGGTATGAGTATCATTTAACAATTGGGCTCTCAGTTTTATAATACACATCTGACTAATTTAATTCGTGGTATTATGATGATTTTTCAATGAACAAAGCCACTAATTCACTTCCATTTTCTTGCAGAACAAATAAACGAGCGTACGTGATAAGGGAATATATTTCTCGGGTAGCGAAAATATTCAATTTGACTTGTAGCTCCCTCAGGGATTGGCCCCACTGACAATGAATACAAGTATCTGGGTTGTCACGGCTAACCCTAACATTGCAAAGGCCAACAACTTGACTCCTCAATACTTACAAGCTAAAATAACCTCGACGTTCAGAACTGAGACCTTTGTCTATTACATTTTACCAGCGATACTTATTTTCTATTTTGCAGAAAATTGTTTAACTCGTGTTCATTTAATTTTTTGATTATGCCTACGTGCCGAAAAGTCTGCCTTGCAGTTTATCTCTGTTTACAAGTAAAATGTGATTCCAGCATTAACATTGAAATTGCCCCCATGTATCAGATTTAAAATTGCATTTTTGAACTCAGAAATCTATCTCCATGTCTTGTATTCATTGCGGTGGAAAATGGAATTTTAACTACACCGGCTTCATAAATATGAACCTATTAGTTCCATACATCTACATAAACCATATTCATTATCACGCAGAATTGAGTTTCATATTTTTTAATGGAATCTCCTTTTTCCTTTGAAACTCTCTCCTGTAAATATTTAAAAAAAAAAAAAACATGGTTGGCCAGGTTCAAAATATGTTAAATAAATAATCTAGCATATTTAAAACTAGTGTGTATAATATATTATTATTATTATTTTCAGCAACAAAAATGTAATAAAAAATAAAATGTCAACCTATGTGTTGTATGAATGATAAGAATGAGAATATTTATGTGTCAATTCTTTTGTTGATATTCTTCTGTTCAATAACAAATGATTTATCCATTGCTTATCTTTGTATCCAAGTATTATTGTTATCTCGGGCAACTATTTTGTATTGTTTTGCACCCAGTACCGGAAAGGTTGATACTTTGACCCTTCATTGCAATTAATATTTGACGGTAATATTATTGATGCTAATTCATCATTAGACAAATTGTCGCCCTTAGTCGTAATTGTCAACGTTTTTTTTTTTTTTATTAATTGAACTTCATAATTTACTTGTGATTACATTTATCCTTAATGAAGTTATCAAATTCTGAAGTGTGTAATTTATTGTTTCTTTCCCCGTTAGAAAATGGAGCGGTTTATGTCTGGGGTCATGGCAAGTCTTGTGGCTCCCGGAAGCAGGATGTTTTGTATCCCGAGTTGGTAGCGATTGTCGGCACTGAAATCCGCCAAATAGCTGCCGGTGCTGCACATAGCATGGCATTATCAGGTAAAAAAAAAAAAATCTTTCTCTGTTTATACTCATCAATCGTTATGCATCAAAGCGAGATCTAAACTGATAATTTCGATTCCTCAAGAATGAAAAAAGTGAACAGATGCCGAGCAGTAAGTAATCAGTGCTGCAGAACATTTACCCTACAGATTAACTTATATGTATCTATCTATCTACATTACCCTATGGCTTTTGGCATTTTTAAAATGACCTTGTTCATAACATGGCTGCACCGCAGAAAATGATAGGATGTTTGCTTCAATTATATCTTAGGAATAAGCCAGCATGAAATTTAGCTGTGGGCAAAAAAAAAAAAAGAATAATACGCTGGCTGAAATGAGCTATATCAATGTCTACCATTAAAAACCATTTATATTTAAAGCTGTGGTTCCTAGTCTGTTGTTGGGATTTGATATTATCACTGACATATCTATTAGGTTTTCCAATGTGGTGGTCTTTGCTCGCAGCCAGCTTTTCCTATTTTCTCATATCGGGGGATGTCCTATCTAGTCCACTGAGAAGTGGAATTTTCCGTCACAAATATGTTTTCCAATTTTATGCGATTCAATCCTGTTTTCTTATTAGATTGGTTTGATTGCAATTTTAATATAATTTTGTTATCTCATTTCTGGTGTTGACTGCGTTCTAGACCAAGCATATTTTGCTACATTTTAGGCAGATATACTGTAAACCACTTTCGTGAGGGTCAGATTTTTCATTAATTTTGCGAGGAGGTGAAAATTCACGAAATTGTGTAGCAGTGGAAATTTCTCTGGGTTCCTTCAACACACAGTCTGCGTGACTTTTGTGTTATTTTATCTTCACGAATGTCATAAAATACTGAAATTACAAAATTTCCAGCGATTTATAGTCATTGTGAGATCACATGATCTTCACTAGAAGATGAATTTTTCTAAACAGGATTGCCTTGTTTTTTGTGTTTTTTTAAGACTGACTCCTGTTTTGAGGCATGTCTGTTTTTATTGCATCAAGTTGAGAAAATCTTTTTTTTAATACCGGATGCCAGATTGAGATCTGGAGGTATCATATATAATTCAGGTGTTGGGGATGCACCACTTCCTGGCTTCAGAACGAGGCTCAGTAACATCATGTTCATTTCACACACTGAGGGCGCTGTCTCCTAACACTCTCTCCAAACAAACTGAGTGTGTTAAGGTGGTACGGCAACTATTGATTCTCAAAAACAACAAATAAATAAATAAATAATTTTAGAAGAGCCAGTTATTGTAGTTAGTGATTCAGTTATTTCACTTTTATAAAATTAAAAAAGCAAGATGTCGAGAAAGGCAGATGTCTTTTGTTATTGTCGTCACCACTGCTGCTGCCATCGTCATCATTGTTGTCAATATTTATCATGAGCATTATACAGCATTATACAGTAAACTGCTTTATTTCCAATAAGACGAATTTCAGAGAATTGTTAGTTCCACTCCAAAACATAAAATACACCGCTGTAAATCCTCAAAAAGGCCGATTGTCACGTCTCCTCCTTTTGTCTCCCTTTTCCTCTCTAATTAGCATGATAGGACTTATTACAAGCATATCATTTGTTCTATTGCTCACATCAAAGATTGCGTTTCAAGAATATACAGTGAATTGTCTCATACAAACTTGGTGGTGGTGGGGGGGGGGGGGGGTAGTTCCCTGTCATACGGATGTGCCATAGTACACCCAGAATGTTACCCCTAATCAGTATGGGAAAAAATGTTGTTACAAAAATATTGACCTTTTCATAGACTGGGGTTCTTATTTGGCACTGGTTGTTGGGAAGTTCTGTATCATAGTTATGGCAATATGCGAAATAAAAGTGTTTGAGTTCTCATTCTGGTTCATGTGGATTATTTTATATCTGTCCGGGGTTATTCCTCTAACATCGTATGATCTATTTCTGTCAAACTTGTTGCAAAGTGTACATTATGTGTATCAATTTATTTTTTTGTTTAATAAGAAATGGCCAACTGGCTACCATTGCCAGCATTTGCATAAATCCATCAATACTACTAAGGATACTAATATCCCACCTCGGCCCCATTGCCATTTTTCATTGAATTTTGTGCAGTGTCAGGCAATAATTATTAGAAATCTGTTATTTTCTGACATTTTGTCTTGCAAGTTTACTTATTAATGAAATGTATTGCATGAATCCTGTTCCTCTTGAAGAATGTGCAATTATTTGTCCTTAATTTGGATGATGATATGTTTGATCTAGTAGTTGCCACGGTAATGGAACAATGGTTACCAGTTACTACAGTCTGTCCAGCACCAGTTGTACAATTACCTAGGCTATCATTTCAAACAAATGTTTATGCCTTTGTAAGAGCAAGCAGTCAATTGTTTATAATTCCGAATCAGTTTGATCTCTTAGCATACTCTCCAGGTCAGATGTATAATTACGTCACCAAGCAGAATGTAACATTGGTGTCCAAACATCCCAACATATTGTCAACAGTACTCATCTGCCATAGTCATCATGGAACACTGTGTTCCTCCCTATCAAGTTCTGTTGATTATTTTCTAAAGAAATAATGCATGAATTATAAATATTTATTGAAAAAAAAAATTACTGGGTAAAAAATAAACGTTGTTGATGACTAGTGCGCTAATGAAACACAAAAGCGTGATAAATTGTTGAACCTGTCTTATTAGTTCTATGAAGGCAGATAATTACCACGATTGAAACTTGGTGATCAAATTGAGACATCGTCTTCAGTCAAGTTTCACTTCTAGTGACAGTAGTATGCCATCAGAAATAAATATTACGGATCACGTATAATTCTGACAGAACTCATTCTCAGGAAATTAATAATGTTTTCATAGAGCACCTGTTGCCTCTCCGACTTCTGCAGTCCTACCGTATATTCTCTGCAGCAACCAACAGACCACTCAATAACACAAGACAACCCACAAAGTATATCATTTAAAGTTGTTTAGCCATCAGTTATGTTTATAAAAGCAAATTATTTTGCATTGTTCAATTACAAAATGAGTCGATGATAAAGGGACATGACAGATGCTGTGTCATGTTTGGCTAATCTGATATATAAGCTATTAATATCCGTCTTTGTTATCAACTGATACTAATTACATTTTTTTTTTTCAATTTATGGCGATCTTTATGATTTAGCGTGGTTGGGCCCCACTGTTTTATAGTTGGTTTATATCGAGTCACTGATGACCGGACACATTGTTATTAAGAATGGTACCTGTAGTAATTCAGAATGGTTATTATTGATAGATAAATGTATGTGTTTGCATATCACTTTCGTATCTATCATACCCTCTCTTTTGAATGCACTTGATACTTAGCAGTTATATCTAAAGCAAAATTTACATAGCATTGGACACGCTACCATCTCTACCACGTTCTGTTTTTAGAACCAGTGTGTATTCGTTGATTGCTAGGTTTCATGTACTGTTGTCAACCTACATTCGACATCCACACCGCTCTGACTTGTTAAAACGCCACAACAAATAAATACTGCGATGGAGCCTGAAAATATTTAAATAAACCTGAAAACTGACTCAAGCGAGGAGGAAAAAACAATATTGTGCAACTGAGAGCAAGAAATAGAATTACCAGTAGACGTTTTGCGTTTGAGCACCCATCATCAATGAAAATAATGAAAACCATAAAAGAAATTTCTGGTCCATCTGCCTGAACACCAACAAAAAACCTGCAATCTTCACAAATCATTGTACAGATAAATTGTCCTGGTTTATCAAATTATCTATGCTAGAAAGTTGATTGAAAATGTATAATAAGAAATGTATGTATACAGATGGTCAAACACATTGCTTGAACCAGCCCTTGTCGTGAACTTGATTGATAGTGCATGTCACCTCTTACCCGTGCATGCACACACACACACGCCAGTCCACCTTTGTTATGATCTATTTTAGTGAATAAGAATTGGTTTCCTATTGTATGGACTACCAGTGGACTTGATATTGACCTTGATATTGATACAATCTTCTTCCCCTGCAACCCACATCACTCTGCCATACCTGTTGTGTTGTATCAATTACTACCAGCTGTTGGTTGCGCTCATAAAAATAGATTTTGACTTAATTTTAATATTCAAATAAAGTTTGTTACGGTATGAAATGTGTATATCTCTGCAGAATTTGCTGGTATTTCATGAATATACTTCTTTCCAGTATAATTTTTGCAAATACAAATAAGATCAATAGCTCCTGCTAAAAATAGTATTCTGTATTGTGCTCCACAATACATTAATTGTTTCATAGTGTGTGATCAGTCACACAAAATTTGACTTGTTTCTACAAATGTCTCAATTTGTGATGAATAAAAATGGGTTAGAGGTGGGAGTGGTGGTTTTTCTCCATCAATCTTTCGAGTGCTAGTGTCAACTTTTGTCACCAAATGTTGAATTATGTCTATTTGATCCAAAAAATAACAAAAAAATCAAGAAAATAACTGAAAATGTTGTTCCAAATTTTTTAGCAAGAAAAATTGTGGTGGTTGAAGGATTAAAAACATAAACTTTTGCCTGATTACTGTATTCCTTCTACTATGAATAAATTAATTATTTTCAAAGCTGACAGAATTGTTAAATAAAAAATTGATATTAAAAAATTTAAATTATCTTTTTTAAATGATTGAATTCTGTTTCATGCGTCTCATCTCTCTGTGTTTTTGCCGTTTCTCCAACACCCAGAGAGTACTGATTAGTTACTTGAGTCGGTGTTCACTGTAGTGTTTTAGTTTTCTCTAACGTTTGCACTTGTCTGACAACCTACTTGTTACAGCTGTATTATCAATTTCTATTCTGTTGGATAGTGTTTTATGGAAACTGTAGAGCAAGAGAATTTGTTGATGTATACATCTTTTTAAATCTGAAATAAACCTCAATAATAATAATAATAATAATATATGTGTTAATTGTCAAGTTATTTTAACATAAGTATAAACAGTTTAATGTATATAATGTTGTTTGCATATTACCCTGTAATAT